CTCCTTTAGTTCTCAGCTCTCGCCTCCTCTCTGGAAGAGCAGGCCACCTGCCAACTATCGTACCTTTACCGATAACGTGATTAGCACCTTGCGAACACGTTACATAACTGCTCTGTTTCATTTTGCCTAATCAGTTGTGATCCAGGTTCCATTGGTGTTGAGATAGTATAGCTGTTTTGGAACTCAAATTGTTTGAGTATTGTCTCAATATACTGATCTTGAATTAGTATGACCTTTCCCTCTTCCAGTTTTCGTACAAAATCTTCATTTCTAGAAAGAAGTGTGCTAATCCAAAATCCTTAAGCGGAAATTGTTTTCTAAGTTCCTGCTTAGCTTCAATGATATCGTTCTGGTGACCGATCCAGAGAATATTGTCAACCCAGATAAGAGTCCGTATAGGATTGTTGCTCAATCCAAGACAGTAATATATAGCATAATCCTCCGCTGATCTTTTGAAATTACATTTGTCGATAAGAAACTGATCTCAGATTTGGTTTCAAATTCGTCCAGATTGTTTTAGTCCGTATAGGCCATGAAAGAGTTGACAAACTGGCTTTCCTGAATATTGCTGTGGGTTGTTAACTGTTATTCTCTCTCGGATATCCATAAAACTTTCTTCATCTAGATGGCCTAGAAGGTATGCGGTTTTGATGTCTCCTTGATGTATTTCATAGTTGTTGAAAATGGCAATTACAAGAAGAATTCGGAGTGAACTTAGTTTAACTACCGGTGTATAAGTCTCTAGGTAGTCGATATCATACTGTTGCGTAAATCCTTTTAAAACCAGTCTTACTTCGTATCTAATCATTTTGCCTTGGACTTCTTTCTTTTCCCAAATGACCCACTTGCACTTTACTGTACTTCTCCCACTTGTGAGTTACGTTAACATCTAGGTATTGTTTTCTTCCCGTGATGTTAGTTCTTCATCTATTGCCTCTTTCCATTTCTCGCTATCCACACCTCTAATAGCCTCATCATAGGTTATGGGCCTGGTATCTTTCGTGGCTGCATACGCGTAATATTCTGATAGGTGGGTAACTGTAGCTAATCTCGAGTAGTGCTTGTCCCGAAATCTTGTTGATGTAAACTTTCCGGCATTGGAATGTTGCGGTTGGTTGGTATATGCCTCTTCTTAAGGTATCGGACTTCTTTGTCAAACTTGGGGTTGTATGTTTTCCTTCTCTAGTATATCGCTAGGAAACTCTCCTGGCATGTTGTATCATTTTAGAGTTTCTGAGCCAGACAGACTTGGATCATTTTCCACTTCATGCCGTTTCGGCATTGGCCTAGTGGATAATGGTTCCTTGGTAAGCGGCATTGGAATCTCTCTACTACTAGCCTCCTCGAGTGTAGTTACTGGAATATGTATCTCAGCTAACATGCTAGGCAACTGGTGATCAATTTTGCTAGGTTTAACTTTAACCAAATCAAGATCCCTGGTAACGTGGACCTTTCTGTCAATCAATGCTCTGAATTGATTGGTTCCTTGATAGCCGAGAAAGATGCAAAAAATACTGTTCGGCTCCCACTTACTTCTTTGCTCTTTTGGTACATGTTTGAACCCTTTTGTACCAAATGGGATCAGGGAAGTTAGTTCGGGAACCACTCCACTAAAGACTTCTAATGGTGTCATTCCTTTTTCTAAAGCACTGGTGGGGCTGTGATTCTTCAGGTATACTGTTGTGTGTACCGCTTCTCCTCATATCTCATCATCTAATCCAGCAGATGATAGCATCGCCTTCACTCTGCTGATAATTGTTCGATTGGCACGTTCACTAATGCCATTCTGTTCTGGAGTATAGGATGCTGTTTGGTCTCGTACAATTCCTGCTACCTGCAGTACTTTGGTGAATTCCTTACTGATGAATTCACCTCCGCCGTCACTCCGTAATCTTTGTATCCTGCAATCAAGGTAATTTTCTGCTTGGGCTTTAAACTCTCGAAATCTATCAATAACCTCTGACTTTTTCTTGATAGTATACGCCTTTGTATATCGAGAGAAATCGTCAATAAATAGTACAAAGTACTTCAAACCACCAAGCGAATCTGTTGCCATTGGTCCTGCAACATCACTATGGATTAACTCGAGAGGTTTCATTGCACAGTGTATTGCTTGGTTCACGTTGGGTTTTCTGGTTTGCTTTCCAATCAGACATTGCGAGCATCTTGGGTTTTGGAGAGAGCCAATGATCTCTATATCTGTATGTTTGCGCACTAAGTCTTTGACATCATCAAAACCTAAGTGTCCAAGATGATTGTGCCATTCTATCAAAGTTCCTGATCTTTGATTTTGTGTTACTTGATTTGCTGCAATATCTTCCTCCTCGGATGTGCCCTTCCGATGTTCGGCTTGCAGGAGGTAGGAATTCTTTTGGAGTTTGGCGATAGCAACCTCCTTCACATCCATCCAGATTTCCACATGGTCCTTTCTTTGACCACTGAAAAGGACAGTTGCTCCTGCATCTTAAATGCATCTTACTGAAACCAAGTTGTTCGGACCTAGTCCCTGAACAAACAGTAAGTTTCGTAGTCGGATGGGTGTTTGTCCTCCCTTACTATTGCAAACAGTTATCATGATCTCTCCAATACCCGTCGCCGACATGGTTCCTCTATTCGCGATACTTATACTAGCCATATGGGTATTCCAGTTCTGGAAAAGATCTCGTTGTGGGCTCATGTGATGTGTTGCTCCCGGATCCAGGATCCATTCATGTCTAATGGCCTCCTGATCTGTTGATGCCATCCAAGCACCAACCTGATGTCTCTTTGCCATATTTGCGGTACCTTGTCCTTCCTGTACCTTCTTGGGGCAATTCTTTACCCAATGGCCTCTTTCCTTACAAGATAGAAAAGTATCTTTGTCTACTCCGTTTCAACCACCATCTCTGACCATTG